CATCGTCATCATCATCATCGTCATCATCATTACCATCACTACCATCATCATCATCGTCATCGTCATCATCACCATCATCATCGTTATCATCATCATCGTCATCATCATCATCATCATCGTCATCGTCATTGTCATCATCATCGTCATCATCATCATTATCATTACCATCACTACCATCATCATCATCATCATCATTATCATTACCATCACTACCATCATCATCATCATCGTCATCATCATCGTCATCATCATTATCATTACCATCACTACCATCATCATCATCGTCATTATCACCATCATCATCATCGTCATCATCATCACCATCATCATCATCGTCATCATCATCATCATCATCATTATCATCATCATCGTCATCATCATTATCATCGTCATCGTCATTGTCATTGTCATTGTCATCATCATCGTCATCATCATCATTATCATTACCATCACTACCATCATCATCGTCATCATCATTATCATTACCATCACTACCATCATCATCATCATCACCATCATCATCGTCATCGTCATCATCATTATCATTACCATCACTACCATCATCATCATCATCATCGTCATCATCACCATCATCATCGTCATCATCACCATCATTATCATCATCATCATCATCGTCATCGTCATCATCATCATCATCATCATCATCATCATTATCATTAACATCACTACCATCATCATCATCATCGTCATCATCATCGTCATCATCATTATCATTACCATCACTACCATCATCATCATCGTCATTATCACCATCATCATCATCATCGTCATCATCATCGTCATCATCATCATCATCATCATCATCGTCATCATCATCATCGTTATCATCATCATCATCGTCATCATCATTATCATTACCATCACTACCATCATCATCATCATCATTATCATCATCATGTGTATGTATGTATGTATACATGTGTGTGTGTGTGTGCGTGTGTGTGTGTATGTGTGTGCGCGCGCGTGTGTGTGTGTGTGTGTGTGTGTGTGTGTGTGTGTGTGTGTGTGTGTGTGTGTGTGTGTGTGTGTGTGTGTGTGTGTGTGTGTGTGTGTGTGTGTGTATGTATGTATATGTGTATGTGTGTATGTGTACACACACACACCGAACTACCAAGCCTGGTTTATCTAAGGGAGATCCAACAACAATAATTACGGTAATCATAATATCCAAATAAATCCTCTTGCTGTTTATTATTCTCGATCAATATTTTTCTTTTTCTTCATTTTTCCTTCTTTTTCTTCATGCTGCTTCTTCGCCTTGCATGATGATGGGGCTACTGGCTCCTCCTCCTCCTTCCTCCCTCCCTGCTTCTTCTTCGTCTTCGTCTTCGTCTTTCAAAACCGAGTCAAATTTAATGGCTCCTCAACAGCAAGTCATAAGTGCGGGAGGAGCAACGTCTCCACTGGACGAACGGGAAGGAAGGGCGTTGTGCTGATGTTTGTTTGTTTGTTTGTTTGTTCTATTGCATGTATGTGTGTTTGTTTGTTTGTTCTATTGCATGTATGTGTTTGTTTGTTTGTTTTATCATATGTGTATGTTTTGTTTGTTTGTTCGTATGCGTATGTTCTTTTGTTTGTTTGTTCGTATGTATGTCTGTATGTATGCATGTATACGTATATGCATATATCTGTACATTTCTTATATATTCTTGTACATGATATGTGGATATATAGAGAAAAGTATTCAATAACGTATGCATGTATGCATATATATATATATATATATATATATATATATATATATATATATATATATATATATATATATGTGTGTGTGTGTGTGTGTGTGTGTGTGTGTGTGTGTGTGTGTGTGTGTATGTATGTATGTATGCATGCATGCATGCATGTATGTATGCATATGCGTATATAAGCATATAAGTATGTATGTTTGTAGTCATAGAGACATGTATTTTATATGGATGCATTTATGTACAATTAATATTATACATGTGTATACATATAGAAAAGTACTTATAAATACATGCGTGTAAGTTTATATGTATGTATTTACGTAAATATTTGTTCAATGTTGATTTTCTTACGTGCTATTCCACACGCACGCACACACACGATAATCGACTCCTAATCTAAATCGTCATCTCGATAAACTAAACAGCATTTCAAGGCGGAGAATTAACGCGAGCCTCACGCAGGGCCAGAGAGGGAAGCTGAAAGTCGACCGCCGCGCCAAAGGAGAAGCGGTTTTATGGTTTCCGATTCTAATAAAAAGAAAAAAGAAAAAAAAAAAGAAGAGAAGAAGTGGAAAAGTATAAGGGAAATAAAAAGAGGATGTGCGGTTTGATTCTCTCGTTTGTGGGTTGCGATTCCTTAGTCTTTTTTTTAATGGAAGGAGGGAGGGAGATATGGAGAGAGAGAGAGAGATGGAGGGAAGCAGGGAGGGAGGGAGAGAAGGAGAGATGGAGAGATGGAGGGAGGGAGGGAGGGAGGGAGGGAGGGAGAGAGAGAGAGAGAGAGAGAGAGAGAGAGAGAGAGAGAGAGAGAGAGAGAGAGAGAGAGAGAGAGAGAGAGAGAGAGAGAGAGAAAGAGAGAGAGAAAGAGAGAGAGAGAGAGAGAGAGAGAGAGAGAGAGAGAGAGAGAGAGAGAGACAGACAGACAGACAGACAGAGAGACAGAGACAAACAAATAGACAAACAGACAGACAGAGAATCCGAAGTAGTAAGAAATGAGATGGAAAGACAAACAGAATGAATTATAATTAAACAGACAGACAGGTAGATAGTGAGGTAGACCTGAAAGAAGGGAGACAAATCGATGGGGCGGGACGAGAGCGCGGGACAGACGACTCCAAAGAAATCTGTCAAAAAAGCGAGAGACAGACCTAATAAAAAGCGACTTGACGCATGTCGAGTGCAGCGTCGGGCGTGCGGGTGTGCGGGCGCGCCGCGTGCCCCGGGGCAAGCTCACCCGCGGAGTCATTCATAAAAAGCGCCGCGCACTCTGCCGGGCCACTCACCGAGCGTGACGCCCCCGTCCGCACCTACGTTACGCGGCCTTACGTCACGTCTCCGCGTCACGTGACAGCTCCGAAATAATGGCGGACGAATGTATCGTAAGATCTGCTGGCAAGATGACCTCCACGACGGGGAGACGACTCGGCGACGACCCGACGGCGCGGACGACTCGGTCTTATGTGCGAGGCGGGGCCTGACCTCCTCGCCCTCCCCCTCCCTTCCTCCTCCCTCCCTCCATCCTCCTCCCCTTCCCTTCCCTCCCTGCCCTTCCCTCCCCCTCTCTCCTCCCTCCCCCCTCCCTCCGAGAGAAGAGACTAGTTACCGCTCTTTGTTGGCCCCGCTGCGACCTTTGCCTCGGTTTCCCAGCGCCCAAGCTCACCCGAGAGAACGCCGGGTTGCGCGAGGGCGAGGGAGGGAAGGAAGGAGCGGGGGGGAGGAGGGAGAGAGGGGAGGAGGGAAGGAGGAGGAAGGAGGGGCGGGCGGAGGGAGGGAGGGAGGATGGAGGGAAGGAGGGAAGGAAGGAGGGAGGGAGGGAGGGAGGATGGAGGGAAGGAAGGAGGGAGGAGGGAGGGAGGGACGGTGAAGGGGAAAAGGGAGGGGAGGGATGGAAGGTTGGAAGAAGGGAAAAGAGAAGGGATAGGCAGGAAGATGGGAAAAAGGAGAAAGGAAGAGGAAAGAAGCAAGAATGATGGAGGGAAGGAGGGAGGGAAGTTGGGGGAGAGTGGAGCGTCTTCCTCTTTCTTTCCCTTCTTAGTATTCTTGCTGACTCTCCTTTTCCCTCTCCCTCCTCCTCCATCTCCTCTTACATTCACTCCTTTGCTCCTCATCATCACTTTTTCTATCTTCCTCTTCTTTCGCCTTTTTCTTCCTCCTCTTCCTTCCTTTTTTCCTCCTCGCTTCCTCCTTCCCCCTCTCTTTTTTTCCTTCCATTATCCTCTGGTTTTTATATCCATTTCCCTTCCTCCCTTCCAACCCTTGCCTCTTCTTCCCTTTTCCTGCTAATTCCTCCTCCCTCTGGCCCTCTTACCCCCCCCCCCTCTCCTTTTCCTCCTCCTCCTCCTCCTGTTTTAGCGATGGGAAGTACCCCTCCCCCTTCCCCTTCCCCCCCTTTCCTAACTCCATTAACCGCCCCCCCCCCCCTCCCTCCCTCCTCCTCCTCCTCCTCTTTCACCCCCCCCCCCCAACAACCCCTTCCTTGACTCCATTAACCTCCCCACTACTCCTCTCCCTCCCCCTCTAACCTTCCCTCACCCCCCCCCTACCCCGGACACCTCCCATCCTTCCAACCCTCTCCACCCCCCACCCACTCCCTCCCCCCCTTCCCCCCACCGTTTCGAAGAGCTGCAATATTCCCACGCAACCCACCTGTTCCTTGCAACGTTGACTGACCTCCGCACACACGTACATCGGTCGCCTCAGGCTGTGCCCTTATAAGGTACTTTTGTTGCAAGGCTGCTGTTGAATCGGTTGCACACAGGTACACGCATTTACGCACATATATAATCGCATATGGACTGCCCCTCTCTCTCTCTCTCTCTCTCTCTCTCTCTCTCTCTCTCTCTCTCTCTCTCTCTCTCTCTCTCTCTCTCTCTCTCTCTCTCTCTCTCCCTCCCTCCCTCCTCCCTCTCTCCCTCCCTCCCTCCCTCCCTCCCTCCCTCCCTCCCCTCTCTCTCTCTCTCCTTCACACACACACACACACACGAGCGTCATAGTTATGAAATTTGCAAGGAAACATAATGAAGTAGTTTATCTTTTCCTTTGCGATTTTTTTCTTTCTTTTTTTGTTTCTTTTTCTTAGTTTCATGATATTTTTTCCCTGTATTTTGGATTTTTGTAAGTTTTAAGTATTACGTCATCGTTAATATCAATCATAATTTATATTCATTTTTTCTTTCCATTTTTTTCTGTATTTTGTTATTAATAACTGCTTCGTCATGAAACAGGCAATCCATTTTCATTGCAACCGCAGGAGTCGCGGGTGAAAGGGAGACTTAAGTAAACACAAAGTTTTGAAAAAATAGGTTTTTACTTTATTCCCTCCAGGACACGATTTATATACACATCAGATATACATCATATTTACAATTTTTTAAATACTCTCTAAGCGTACAATGTACAAAGTACAGCGTACACATCCTCCGTACATAATTATTGATACATAATCCCCACTGTGACCAAGTGTATTATTTTTCTCTCTCTCTTTCTCTTTTTTTCTAATAAAAAAAAGAAACAACGAACATAGATTTTTCTTATCGGCTTTAACTTTTTTTTTTGGTTTGACATTTTTTTTTGTTTTGTTTACTTCAGCTTACAAAAAACATCAATTCGAACATCACAAACATATTTAAGACAAACTTTGCTAAGCTTCTAAACTCCTCTACGTTATTATCATTATATATTTTTTTTGCACAAACATGAAAGATGAGAAAGAACTCTTAAATAAAAAAAAACAATGAAAATACAACAAATAAATAAAATAAATGCCTTTGGGTCATATTTTTTTTTTGGAAAAACGAAAATTTGAAATATACAAATCATTAATATTCTCAAAATTTCCACCGGACGAAATAAATCGACCGATGTATATATAGACAATTTTTTTTTTAAAGAGAGAAAGAAAATGGGTCTTACTGACAACAACTTCATATTGAAGGCATTAGCTTGTCAATAAAAGTATACATATAAACATATATATATACTGTATATATAAAACACACACATATATATCTATATATGTACATACACAAAAATACCAAAAAAAAAAAAAAAAAAAAAAAACATCACACTTCTTCACATAGGAGAAAATGAAACTAATATGCACAGAATGGAAATAAAGGGGAAAATGAGGAAAAAAATAATAATTAATAATAATAATGATAATAATAATGATAATAATAATAACAGACAAACATTCTTGACTAAGAGAAAGATATATTGGATGACTTAGGAATTAGTTCACTCCTTTCGAGGAACTATCAGCTAACAAGGAACATGCCAGGGGGAGGGGGGGGGGGAGGAGGAGGGAGGGAGAAGAGAAGGGAGGGAGAAGGGGGGGAAGCACAATATTTTATCTAATGGTTTCCCTATGTTCTCTCGTTATCATCTGTTTTTTTTTCTTCTACTTTTCCTTTTTTTTTATCTCTTCAATCACCAGCAAATACTTATAAATACCTATACTTATATACTGGTTGTGCTTCGGTGGGTTAATCTGAGAGAAAGAAAGAAAGAAAGAAAAAAAGGAGAGGAGATGGGAGAGAGAGAGAGAGAGAGAGAGAGAGAGAGAGAGAGAGAGAGAGAGAGAGAGAGAGAGAGAGAGAGAGAGAGAGAGAGAGAGAGAGAGAGAGAGAGAGAGAGATACCCAAGAAGCTTTGGCAAAACATTCTTGTGTGATTTTGCTGGTAAATGAAAAAAAAAGAAAAAAAATATACATAAGTGCAAAAAAAAAAATATGGATGGAAGCTTACAAAAGAGTTGAAAAAAAAATATTCTTCAGGTTTAAATCCACTTTGATACTCTTGAAACCTTTCTTATATATCTTTCATATATACGAAACAACATTAGCACTCTTGTAATCTTTTTTTTTTTTACTTCCTTCCATTATACTAATTCGGGAATTAGTATAATGCCCGTGCAAAGTTTCCTTTTAGAGGCAATTTCAACATTTTTTTTTTTCTGAATAATAAATTAACATTTGAAATGCGCGAGAACAGAGAATATCACTGATAACAAATAAGAATAAGGGAATGAGGAATGGGGGAAGAGGAGGAGGAGAGGAGGAAGAGAAGGGGGGGGAGGGGGAAGGGCACATCTACACAACATCACTCTGAGATCGATCTGTGTGGGGGGGAGGAAATGGGGGAGGGAGGGGAGGGGAGAGAGGGGGAAGAGAGAGAGAAAGAAAGGAGAGATGTAAATGAGAGTGAGTGATAGAAGGAAAGGAAAGAAAGAGAGAGAAAAAAAAAGTGAAAAGATTTTTTTTTCCTTCCACTAAATCTCCCATCTCTCTCTCTCTCTATCTCTCTTTCTGTCTCTCGCTCTCTCTCCTCTCCCGTCTTTCTCACCCTCGCCCTCTTCTCTCTCTCTCTCTCTCATCTCACTATATCTTCGTGGATTTGACACAAGCGTTCGTATCTCTCACTATACAGCACACTATACCACACTAAACCTCAACACAGCGACAAAGGGGGTAATCGGCAAACAAAGGGTGGGGGGAAGGGGGGAGGGGGAGGGGCGCTGAGATGAAATAGGAAGAGGGGGAGGGGGTGGGGGGGGGAGATGAATGAGCCTCCATACACAGACCACAAAAATATATATATAAAAGGACCACAAGTTTCACCATCATCACTATCATGTCACCATCACGGTCATGACGTCATCACCGTCTCTCCTCATCACAATCATTATTTTTTTGCGGTGTGGACATCTTCGCTATTCACTATCTGCTAAAACAAAACAACAAACAAACAAACAGTCGCGTGAGCACAAACAAAAAAAAAATCTTTGTTTAGTGTTACCGCCTCCTTGTTTTGTTTTAAACTTGCTTGGAACTGTCTGCTTGTTTGCTTGATTAGGTCCTCGTCTTCACTTGCACAAAATACACAAAACTCCTCCCCTTTGCCACTGTGCTTGCTCCTTTAAACAACAACGATGCTTCTTTGTTCATTTGTTCACTGTTCTTTTCCACTGTTCACATGGAAGGCACTACAATATAAACACAATTTTTTTGTACCACATACCACAAGATACAAGTTACAGTGTACATATATATATTTATATATAATTAAAAAAAGAGAGAGTGTGAGAGAGAAAAAAAATCGATTTATTTTTAACAATAAATAAAATAACACATTTGCAAAAAAAGAAAGATAGAGAGAGAGAAAGACGGCGAAAAATAAGGAGAAGAAATAGCAATAACTAGAGTAGAAGTAGTAATAGTAAATAGTAATGATAGCTCCTAAATTAAAACATCTTTGGATGTGCTTGGGACTAAAGAGAAGTGAAAACATCACTTCAACATTTCAGTTTGTTTGTTTTCGTTTTTCTTTCTTTCTTTCTGGTGCTTCCGCGGGCCGTGACTCCCTTGCGCTCCACACGAGGCGTCGCGAAGGGACGTTCTTTGCGTTCTTCTCTTTCACAAGCTCCGCCCACCTTTGGAAGGCGAAAACAACAACAAAATAATAATAATAATTAATAATACTATCAATTGTAATAGAAGTCTTGGTTTCTCTTTTTGGCGTCACTAGCAAAAAAAGTTTTATTTTTTTTCGGGGGCAAAATTTTCTTTGCTTTTTTTTCTGCTCACTTTTTTTTTAACACTTACGAAGACGAAGAAGAATCACACGAAGAGTCAATTGTTTTCTCTCTTAAATCATTCTCTTCTCTTCAATTTTTTTTTTTTCGTTCTTCTCTTTTCTACAAACACCGTAGAGTTCGAAGAAAAAAACGTAATTATTTCAACGAATCACTAGACCTCCGTGGCAATGTAATTCTCATCGTCATAATGTTCTTCTATAACGAACACACTTGACGGCGTGGTACAGGTGGAAGGCGTACAGGTGGAGGTTAACGTGTTGGTGGAGGTGTGGATGTCACAGCTGCCGCCGCCGCCGCCGACTCCACCGCCGCCTCCACCGCCTCCGCTGCCGATGAGGCTGTTGCGCTTGCTGTACACATCGCTGCGGGAGAGAAAGGGGGGGCGTTAGGGCGGCCTCAAGGGAGAGGAACACGATATTTCAGAATACAGAAAGGTTTTGTCGGAGGAGTTTGTGTGCATGAGAGGAAGGGATTCAAGAAGGCGCTGCTTACCTGTGGCTGTGGACTCGCGGGAGGGGGGGTTCGGGGAGCACCTTGCAGGGCGCGTTGAGCTCCGAGGTGGGCGTCCCGCGGCAGGCAGGGGCGTGGGCGGGGGCGTCGAGGCCCTTCTCGAGGCAGTCGGCGAGAGAGAGACGCGACATGTCGGTGTTGATGGTCTTGGTGCTCCTCGCCGGCACGATGCTGTACGTGTTCTCGACGGCCTTCTTGGCGTCGGGCTCGTGCATGTGCAGGTGGTGGCCGCCCTGCAGGTGCGGCAGCGCGTGGTGCTGCGTGTTGAGCGGCTTGGCGGGGTAGTCGAGCGAGTTGATGATCATGTGGTCCTCCAGGCACTTGTTGTTGGCGGCGTTGACCGCATTGTGCACCATGTTCTGCTCGTTCTGGCGCCGTGCCTCCTCATCCTGGCGCGCGCGCTCGCGCCTCCTGCGTCGCTTCATGCACACGATGGCCAGCGCCGACACCACGGCCAGCACGGGCACGGCCACGCTGAAGGTCACCACCAGCACCACCTGCGCCGCCGACATGGGCGAGGCGTCCACGTCCACCTGCGGCGCCGGTTTGGTCACCACCGTGCAGAAGGGGCCGCCCAGCCCGCTCGGGCACGTGCACTGGAAGCCCACGGCCAGCTCGGGGGCCTCCACGCAGTAGCCGCCGTTGTGGCACGGCGCCGACGCGCACGGAGACACCGGCACGGGCACGCGCGTCGTGCACTGGCGGCCGCCCCACCCGGGCCGACACTCACACGAGAAGTCGTTGACGCCGTCCACGCAGGTGCCGCCGTTGGCGCAGGGCTGCATGCTGCAGTCGTCCACGTTGGTCTGGCACAGAGTGCCAAGGAAACCGGGGATGCAGCGGCACGTGAACGAGTCGAGGCCATCGATGCAGGTGCCGCCGTTGAGGCACGGCCGGTGCGCGCAGTCGTCCACGTTGGTCTCGCAGCGGTCGCCCGTGTAGCCGACGGGGCACACACACTGGAAGCTGTCGTGCTCGTCCACGCACGAGCCGCCGTTCAAGCAGGGGTCGGACGCGCACTCGTTGACGGCGCGCTCGCAGCTGGTGCCCTCGTAGCCGGCGCGGCAGTGGCACTGGTAGCCGGTGGCCGTGTCGGAGCAGGTGGCGCCGTTGAGGCACGGCCGGTCAGCGCACGACTGCCCGGAAATCTCGCAGTACTGGCCGGTGAAGCCCGAGGGGCACTGGCACACGAACTGGTCGTCGCCCGTGTCCAGGCACGTGCCCCCGTTGCGGCACGGCGTGTTGGCGCACGTGTCGTTGATGATCTCGCAGATGGTGCCCGAGAAGCCCGGGGGGCACTTGCACGAGTACGAGCCCGGGGCCGTGTTGAAGCAGGTGGCGCCATTTTTGCAGGGCTGGTGGTTGGTGCAGAAGTTGAGGTCCTGGTTGCAGAAGAGGCCGCCCCAGCCCTCGTCGCAGTTGCACTGCCACGGCTTGTCGCAAGTGCCGTGGAGGCAGCCGGGGTACACCTGGCATTTGTCACAGTCCGGGCCCTTCCACCCGTTGTGGCACCTGCGGGGGAGAACACGCTCGTTAGCCACACGCCCAATAAAACACAACGGAAAAAATAAGATACATATAAGCAAATAAAGCCCCCCCCCCCCCAACACAAGCCCTTATTCCCCGCCCATTCCCCAGAAGAAGGCTAATCACAAGCCATCGAAGCCACCACCCGCCCTCCCGCCCTCCTCCTCGTCCTCCCGCCGACAATAGTGTTCGGAGGGTCCCGCGGGGCTTCCTTCCCATGATGCCCTTCGCCAAGGAAGTGACACCTGATCTCGGCGTCCTCTTACAAGCTCCTCCTCGTCTCCTCCTTCTCCTCCTCCTCCTCCTATTCCTTTCTGGACTCTCTTCTTGGACTTCTTATTCACATCTCCCAACGTCGTGCGTTCGCCCCTCCCTGTATTCAAGTCCGATTTCCCCCTTTGAACTGACTTTACCTAGACGAAGGGAGGAGGACAGACGGGGAGGAAAAGTGGGGTGGGGGGGGGGAAGAGAAGTAGGGAGGGAGAAGGGGTACGGGGCAGGGGAGGAAAGGGTAGGGGGGGGAGGGAACGGTTCAGCGGTAAGGGGATACACTAGCCAAGGGGTTGAGGGACCTCAAGTTAAACAACAATAAAATATAAGGAGGTCGGTTTCCTCTTCCCCTCCTCCTCCTCCTCCCTCTTTGTCCCTTTCCCTTACCTCTCCCCTCTACTCCCCTACTCTGTGCTCCTCCTCCTTCCTGAAGCGACGAACACTTTTAAAAACAATCAGCAAATGAAGAAAAAAACAAAACAATATTCCCCATGACAATAACCCCCTCTCCCCCCACCCCCCACCCCCAAACATAACCCCCAGTGTTAATAACCTCCCTCCCTCCCTCGCCCCCGTGGTAATAAGCGAAGCAATACTCACTTGCACTCGCCGGGCTGGTCGCAGTAGCCGGTGGACTCGTGGCAACCGGAGTTACAGATGGCTACGGAAAGAGAAAGGGGAAAAAAATTAGTTATGTGGCCTCGCTGTGGGGAAGATTTGGCGATAAGTCATTTAACATTCAACAACACAAAAACATTATGGAGAAAAAAAATTATGGAGTGTGTGGGAAAGGGTTCGAGAGATTTTGGAATAAGGAGGAAGGGAAGGATATAATAAACGAGAGAAGAAAAGACTAACACATTTTCGATAAACCGGGCTTAAAAAAAAAACAAAAAAAAATGAGCATCTGCGGGTGACGCCTGTCCCCCCCCCCCCCCCCCGCCCGGCTTGCCCTCCCGCATGGCATTAAACACCTCGCCAAACACCTCAACTCGGAGAAGACGAAAGAAAAAAAAAATAAGTGTGATTCAGAGAAGCTGAATTCAAGACGGGACCGCTACGTTGCTCAAGAAAGAAGAAAAAAAGAAAAGAAAAAGAAGAAAAAAATCTAATCCCCCACAACTCTTTCCTGTTTTTAATTTTTGAGTGAAAAATTGAATGAGGAGTGAAACCAAATGAACCGCGGCGAGGCGTTGTGGGCGCGGGCAGCAGCTGCGAACGCGTGACGTCACACTACTACCCGCTCCCCCCCCATTCCCTCCCCCCTACCCTCTTTCCCTTATAGCCCTGCCATCTGGCGAGAGCGGCGGCGGGCACCACCAGGGACGACAGTAAACAACAACAACAATTACCCAAAACCACGTGTTAGCGAGGTTGCGCGTCGCCCGAGAGAGGCGGTGACTTGCACGCCCATGAAGGCGGCGTGCGGGGGGAGGGGACGAGAGAAAAAGATAGATAAAATAAAGAAAACAGGAAGACAATCGAACGCACAATAGAACGCGGAGTTTAAGAGGAAGACCAAATAAAACCAAGAGAAAACAATTAAAGACATCAAAAATCAGAAAAAAAGGAGAGAAAAAAAAAAGAGGAAGAAAAAACAAAACAAAATCAAATCCAAGACTCACGTTTGAGGCAGTAGTTCTCGGGGCCTTGCCATCCGTCCAGGCACACGAACTCGCCCTGGTCGTCGCACACGTAGCGGCCGAAGGAGTCGTTCCTCGGGCGGCACCACTTCCGGCAGCCCTCGCCGTAGTAGTTCTCCTGGCACGTGACGCGGAACTCGTAGGAGAGCGACGAGTGCGAGGTGCGGTGGTCGTCGCTCGTCCACTCGTCCCCGAGGTCGAGCCAGCGCTGGATCATCAGGCGGGTGATCAGGGCCGGTTCTGGGGGGGAGAGAGAGAGAGGGGGGGTCAGTCGAGGGGTTGTGGGGTGTGGGGGGGGGGTGAGGGGGGAATGGTGGAGAATGAGGAAGAGGTGGAAGTGTTGGTGGTGATGGTGAATGAAGGGGGTGAGCGCAGGGATGGATGAGGAGGAGGAGGAGGAGGAGGAGAAAACCGATTTGCGGGAGCGGGGCATGATGGGGCGGCAAAAGGGCATGCAAGGGTAAAAATGGGCATCGCCGTAAAAACCTGCCGACCTAAACCGACTAAATGAATCCGCGCCTCGAAAGATACTTAAAGGCATCGACCATAACACATTAAAAACCACGTCTCTCTCACAAAGTGCATCTCCGCCACGGGAAACCGAGCGTATAGTCTACATAAAAATATCGAAGAAAAAAGGACTATCGAAGACACTTATAAAAAGCCAAAGATGTATTTTTTTCATCGATATGCTCTGTGAATCTCCTGTGTGCGTGGGCGCGCGCGCGCATCGAGTCCAGACCTCCCTTGTCGTGAGAACACAACGCGATAAAGAAGAAAAAGAAGAACTCGTGAGAAACACATAATAACGGATAAAACAAGGACGAGGTGAGGGAGGAAAAGGTGAAGAAGAAACTGGTAATAAGAAGGGAGGAGGAGGAGATGGAAGATGAGGAGGAAGAGAGAGCGTAAGAAATAGCGAAGGAGGCGCAGAGGAGAAGGGAGAGGGGGAGGGAGAAGGAGGGAGCGGGGGGGAGGAGAGGTGTGCATGGCGCTGGCTGCATGACTTGAAGTGCATGGGAGCGTGGGAAAGTGTCTGGCGAGCTGCTGGGTCTTGCCAGGGAGGGGGAGAAGGAGAGGGGGAGCGGGAGGGAGCGGGAGGGAGGAGGGTGATGAGAGGGGGCAGGGAGGAGGGTGGGAGGGAGGAACGGAGAGGCTAGGAGGGAGGGAGGAGCGAAGTTACGTGTGTTGCCCTGCATACACAATGCCCAACCACTTAGGTATCGGTACACGCAGGTACCAAATGTTTCTCTTAATTTTTTTTTCTTCTTTTTATTCTGCTGATATTCTCTCTCTCTCTCTCTCTCTCTCTCTCTCTCTCTCTCTCTCTCTCTCTCTCTCTCTCTCTCTCTCTCTCTCTCTCTCTCTCTCTCACTCTCTGATGTTTAAATGCCACGTTTTACTATCTTTTTCCCAATTAAACCGTGCGCTGTTGCAAGGTCGTTTGAATCTACCCCAACAACAACAAAAAAAACTAACATCCTTTCAGAGGAAAACAGAAGATAGGAAGAACAAGAGAAAACAAAGAACGAGAAAGTAAAACGGAGAAACGGAGAAAAACAGTGAACAAGAAGGAAGCAACCAGCTGTAAGTCCCTCCCTACCCCCCTCCTCCTCCTCCTACCCCTCCTCCTCCCCCGTACCTGCCTAAAGCACGGCTGCAATTGCCACGTTTAAGCTGTTAGTCATCGCCGTGCCCCGTGCAACGCCGGCCATGGGAAAAAGCAACGAACGAACAGAAGAACAGGAGAACAGCGAGAACGGCAGGATCACCAGAAGTTGTTGTTGGAAAAGCTTCGATACTGTTATTTATTTTAACTCGAGAGAGAGAGAGAGAGAGAGAGAGAGAGAGAGAGAGAGAGAGAGAGAGAGAGAGAGAGAGAGAGAGAGAGAGAGAGAGAGAGAGAGAGAGACTTGAGCTGAGAGCGAAATAGAGAAAGAGGGGAGAGGAGGAGAAGAAGAAAACTACCTGAAACTGCCCAAGAAGTCGTTAGAACGCTCTCAAATGCCTACCCCTTCCCCCTTCCCCCTCCCCCAACCCTATCAATACCCTCCCTCTCCATACCCCAATTTTTCCTCCTCCCCTCCCTCGTCTCTCCTTTCCTTCTCTCTCTCACTCTCTCTCTCTCTCTCTCTCTCTCTCTCTCTCTCTCTCTCTCTCTCTCTCTCTCTCTCTCTCTCTCTCATGCCCAAAGCGCCCCATCTTTCCTCCTTTCACGCTAAATTGGTGAGTTTACTCCGACTCTTAGCACAGGAAATGGATTTCTCGCACGGGGGGGGGAAGGGGAGGGGAGAGGGAGGGAAAGAGGCAAAAAGAGGATGGTGGGTAAGAAGGAAAGTGAGAAGAGGAGATGAGGATAGGAGATGAGAAGAGAAGAAAATCAGAAAACCCAAAATGCCACTTAACCTACCTTGCCTACAGGAAGGTAAAGAGAGAGAGATGCCTACCCACGATCGCTTCCCATTAAAAGACGCACACACGCACACACATACACACATGTAAACAAAAAGGGAGGCGGCCAAGGAGCAAAAACTGGACGTTCCTTCCTCGTGAGTGAGTGAACGTCTCAAGGAGTCTACCGAGGAGACTACATAAAGACCTCCTCCTCCTCCTCCTCCTCCTTCTCCTCCTCCTCCTCCACCACCACCTTCTTCCCTTCCTCTTATTCCTTTTTCTAAGACACCTTCCTCTTACTCGTTTTACTTGAGGAAGAAGAAGAAGAAGAAGAAGAAGCAAGAGAAGAAGAAGCAGAAGAAGAAGAACCAGAGGAGGGAACACCCACGTCCGCTGGTCGCCTCGCCTCGCCCGCTCCGTCGGCTGTGGATTCCCTCGCGCGCGGGCGAATGAACGGAGGAGCAGCGAAGGCAAAAACGTTCGACAATGGTGTGTGTGTGTGAGAGAGAGACAGAGGAAGAGGAGGAATAGGGATAAGGGTGAGAACAGAAGCAGGAGGAGAAAGAGAAATGCGAGGACGAGGAATTTAGAGAGAGAGAGAGAGAGAGAGAGAGAGAGAGAGAGAGAGAGAGAGAGAGAGAGAGAGAGAGAGAGAGAGAGAGAGAGAGAGAGAGAGAGAGAGAGACCCGGGAAGCCAGACCAAAAGTGGAGGGCGGAGGTAGAGGTGAGAGGAGGGAGTAGGTGGAGAGGGGTGGTTGGGTGAGGGGGGGGGGGGAACACGTGTAATGATAACCATATATCGTTTTCCTGTGTTCTATCGCATTACAACACACACGGGGGAAAGATACAAGAGGAAATTACAGAGGTTCGGCCAAGCGCTGGAGTGTGACGTCATGGAAAGGGGGGGAAACAGGGAGGAAAGGAAGGAAAAAGGGGGAGGGGAGGGGAGGGGGGAGGCGGGAGAAAGAGGGAGGATAGGAAGGAAAAGGGGGGCGAGCAAAAGAGATGGAAGGGACGGCGAGGAGGAAGGGAGAATAGCGGAAGGGGGGAAAGGTAAAGTAGGTAGGTTGGTAGGAAGGTAAGCCGGGACTAAGGGGGGAGGGGAAGCGAGGCAGGAAGGGAGGGGAGGAGGAAGGGGAGGAGGGAGGGAGGGAGAGAAGGAAGGGGGAGAGCTAAAGAGCGTGAGAAGAAGAAGAGGCGAATTTGCAACAGCAGCAACAGCGAGAACCAACAACACTAAAAAAGGCGGAGGAGGATTAGGCGAGCGGAAGGAGACACACGTGGTTAAAAGCTACGAAAAAGGACGTCTGTAAAACGCTACCTAACAATGCTACCGTTGTGACGTTCTCTCTCCTCGCACTCGCTCTACCTCGTTCGCCCCTGTTACCCAACCCCGCAGCTTCGAATGACTCAAACCGACAGACTAACACTCATAACAAATATAACTCATAAATACAAGAGGGGAAAAAAGACGGAGCAATATTCCAACACACACACACGCACACACGAAGGAGCGGGTTGTCAGCAGTTGGTGGAGTTCCTAGGGGCGGGTATCCTACACCGCCTGGGGGTCCCTGAGCGTCCCGTCCTGCCCCGGGGCGACCACTAATATCCTGCCAGTCCCCCTCTCCCCCCGACCCTCCTCCTTACCCCCAAGCCACCTAATGGGACTTATTAAGCCCCCGCCAGCGATCTTTCTCCCCCGAAACCCTCGCTCCTTTACGTGGCTATAGACTGATCGTCAAATGTTTTTTTTTTTCGGTAGAGAGAAACAGCAATGCATGAAACACCAATAAGTCTCAATCACCATAATTTTCTTTCTTCGCTGTTTTTCTCTCTACTTTTTCTCTTCTTCCCGGCTAATGGACAGTGTGGAGGAACAATCGAGATTTGTTTAACGCTGGCGACCGCACACACTCCACATTATAAACACGACGGGTGCCAGAAGGCCGTCCTGTGGTACTACACACACATACACACAAAACCCATGAACCAAGCGTCAACCTCCACACATCCTACTTCGATTTTTTTTTTTTTTTTTTTTTTGAGGGGGGGGGGGAAACTACAGCGATGTTAGCTTTCCTCTCTGCCTGTCTGTCTCTCTCATTCGGAGCGATAAACTCGGGTGTATTCTCAAACACTAACGACTCCAACGAAACCGGATGCACCACTATTCCCTCTCCCTCTCTTCTCTCTCCCTCCCTTCTTCTCTCGGTCGCAGTTCTCTCTTTCCGCCACCCCATCATCCTCCCTTCCCACCTTCCTCCCCCTCCCCCCTTTTCTCTCTACTCCCATCTGTTCCCTATCTTCATCGGCTATTGTTTTGGGTCTTTACATCTGGTGTCCGCTGACCACATGCTAATCGTTGTCCGCTACAAAATGCAGATGTAATTTATGAGCTTTTATTGTTATGCATTAAGGAGTTATTGACGTGATAATTATATGTTCCTGCTTTGATCTTTGATATTAAAAACTATTGTTTTCAAAATACCAAAAATAAATAGGTATAAAGATATAGAACCACTAATCCCTTCGACCATCAAGGCATCATTCTATCTTCGTTCAAATGCCGCCTTTATGACGAACCTCCAGAAGGGCTAAATTACCTTCGCCTTAATGAGTTGCGGACCTCTCAAAAGGAGGCGGCACCAACAATTAAAACCGTCTGCTAATCCCATCTTAGGTCGCTTCCAAAGGATCGGCAACGTGACCTGAAATGCCCTTTGACCTAACATTGCTCTCTTTACCTAGGCGACCGAACTCCGCTGCCCCCCCCCCTCTTCACTCTTCTCTCCTCTTCTTCCTTTTTGCTTCCCTTTCATCCTACTATGATCTGACCTCTCTTCTGTCTCAAAAAGCGACCGGCTGACCTAACTTTTGTGTCGCCTAGTCCCTCGAGAGTGAGACTTTAAGGCTTATAATCTCACTCACATTAGGATGACCCGAAAGAGACGCGAGTCAGGTCAACACATGATTAAACATTTTGGAATAAAATATAAAATACTAACAACATCAGAATGCGAAGTGCTAATACTAAGTTATGTAGGCCTACACGGGTTTCGGGTCTGGACTCGATTTAACACAGTTTCGAAAAACTAATGTAATATACTTAGTTGTAAGAAAACTAATGAATAACACAACATATCGACAGTACTCACCAACATATGTAGCGGTTGTGTTGGGTTCTTCATGCCATGCTTCTATGATGAGCGAAAAGGTTCCCTGTTGAAGAAAAGCAAGAAATTTCCACCATGAGCACTTTTTGTATTTTATTTTTTTCGTATATATATTTTTACTATATATTTGTATGCATTTCTTTCTTTCTCTCTTTCGGTAATGCACTTAATGAACGGAATATGGTGGTCGAACACATACGCACACGCATTAAAAAACACACACATACACGAATCCCAAAGCGCTGTGATTATCAATTGTGTGAAATCCTTTGCCGTTTCTTCAGAAGTATATAAATGGCTTTATCATCACCTTTTTTTTTAAAGACACAATCTTCTCTCCATTGTGATCTCGAATGAAAACCTTTCTTCTTACTGCTTTTCCTTAGAGCGATTTTCAACGGTCCATAAAGCAATCAATACCAGCGTAAGGTACACTTTAGCACTTGAACGACTGTCGTTTATGATTTTACAACCTCCGTCGGGCTTTCCGGGGTTAACTACACACTCACACATCTACTGAGGGGTTTGTTTGTTTCACTTCTTCCGATTCTATCTCGAAAGTGCATCACCACTTTCGTAAAATCACTGGTGTAGTTTTGTTCTTGTCCTTTTTTTAAACACTTTTTGTTCGATTGAGAGGTTGATAAAATCACCCACTAAGTATAGCCTATGGTAATATTTTCCAATTTGTTGTACTTTTTATTTTATGCACTCGTGACCGGCCGTGAAACTGATGTTACTGTTTCAACACAGGCCAAAGCACAACTTTTTTTTTTTCTCCACAGCACCATAGGCCTATATCAAGAACACTGATGGTATGCGTGTTCAGTCTGGGAAAATTAGATGCACTTTTTACCACTTTCTTTCGATCACATTTCTGTTTTCTTCCACTGATTTCTTTTGCACCAAAAAGGTAGTCATATGTTTGTTTTTTTTATAAGTAGAAGAAACAAGAAATAAGAAAAGAGAGAGATCAGAAGATGAAAAATGATTTTACACTGTACATTCACACTTCCAACCGTGGGAACGTTCCTTCTTTGCTCAATGCACTTTTACTACACGAGTTTAAGGATTAAGATGCACTTTGTAACAAGAAGTGGACAAAAAACTTGTTGGGTCACTTTGCTCCGTTCAGAACGAGAAGAGAAGTCGAGAAAGAGTGGGAGGAAGAGTGAGTAAAGAGGCATAGGAGAGAGGAAAAAATATTGCCTCTCCTTCCCATCTCTTTACTTAGGTTGTTCTCATCTATTCTCTCTCTCTCTCTTTCTCTCCTCCTCTTTCTGATTCTGTGTTACTCTTGCACTTATGTAGTATTTGGTGTTTTTTTTCTATCTATTCACTATATATCGGCAATTCTTCACTGTACACAATTCCAAGTAGCACTGTATCACTGTTTATCCTCGTACTCTGGCACTGTACTTCAACTTCTCCGAAAACGGCAAAAAATGTCGACACAATTCACACAATCTTTGGGACTTCGCGTAAGTATGGTGTTTTCTCACTTATGTTTTCTTTCGCATCATATTCCGTACATTAAATCAATACCACATTTTCGAGAAAGAACTCACTTACTACAATCATCAAAAACCAAGATATTTTTTTTTCCATTTCTTCACTAACACAAATCAGCACACCATCCACTTTGAATGGAACTTGTAGCTTTATTTATATTTTCTCTTTCTTTTTCCATTTTTTTTCCTTACCTGCCACGAAGCGAGCTCAAAGGGCACGGGATTGCGGAATCCTTGCAAATCCACTTTGGAGAAATCCACTTCGTTGTCGCCCAAGACCGGAGTCTCGGCCTCACCAAAAGTGCATGGCGACTCAGGGTCTATGACTTCTTGGTAAACTTTGAGACACACGCGAAATTTCGTCTTGCAAGTACCCGTGCAGTGTCCTTGCGAGTTACGATAGCCGCTGCAACAGTGTCCTTCGGTGTCCTTGCCGAAGCGGTTTGAGAACTTCTTCAGGCGGAGTTCGAACACCGCGTTGGCCGAGGTCTTTGGAGGCAAGAAAAAATATGACGTTAGTTTAAAAATGCATGATGAACATTCGGATATATAAAAAAAATTGGGACTTGTTTTATTATAAGATATACTTTTGGGGACTTAGGGTTTTTCGTCCCCATTACAATGAATACTCGGATAACAAAATATCCACACTGGTTGCTATATTATCCACACACGTAGCCACGATTTGCAAAAAAAAAAAAACTTTAACACTGAGATATCACTCGATCACAAACTTACCTCAATGAAACACATCGCCAAGACGACCCCGGCCAGTGCGATGGCCACGGGATGTGCGAGCCACCGCATGGCTGTGTGTTAGTGTAGAACCTGCGTCGTGGAATGCTTTTTCGATACAACAATACACCACGTATTGTATTTCTTGTATCCTGCGTATCGTAGGCGATGTTTGGGGGTTACGTCGAGGAGAACCGCAGGAGTCAACAGTGGAGAGGGGGAAGGGGGGGAGGGGGGAGAGGAGGAAAAAAAAAGGAGAGCTTTAAAAAAAGGGAGCGTGTGATGCTGCTTCAGGATCGCACGCGGCACACCCTCTCCGTGCGTAGGTTCGTGACAGACTGCCGAGCGAGAGAAACGTTCGGGCCGAGCGCCGCCCGCCCGCCGGCTCCCTACGCTCCGCCCACCGGCTCCCTAGGCTCCGCCCACGACCTGCCGCAGAAACAACACCGTTTTACTACGATTAGTATTACTCTTCTTTTTTTTTATCTTCTCATTTCTTGGCCTACCTTCACTTCCTAATCTCGGTTGACTCTCTTTTATTTCATCTCTCATTCCGTTCACATGTAAGATCCACTATTTATTGGAGATAATCATTGAGAAGATACTACTTCTCAATAATTACTTCTCGGATATTTTATTTATTTATTTTTTCTTAAATTCTACACTAAACATTACCTTTTTTTCCCCGTCTTGTTTATCTATCACTCACAGTCTCACCAGAACCAGCACTGATTCACTACATCCATTATTCGCCACTTCTCCTCACTTATAACACACAATTCCTCACTTTTCCCTGTATCTATCAAGTTATCAAATTTCTCATTTACATTCCTTCATTCCTCTTCTTGCAAAACCGCACAAACAGCGACACAAAACACGTGGAAAAGACGTTTGTTTTCTTGTAGTCATTTTAGTCCTTGCGTTTCAGGTCTAGTTGAGGGAGCGGCTGACAGAGGGCAGTAACACGCAGTGAAGGAAACCGGGAGTGGGAAAAAAATATTATAAACTCGATTGAGATTTTATTTTACTTTATTTTTGTATTTTGGATTTAACTATAGGCTGGTTTTATATATAAATTTCGAGTTGATGTTTAGGATTCGTCTAGGAGTGAATGATAAGTTTGTTATTATTGATAGTAATATTATTGAACGGCTGAACGGGAGAGAGAACTTTTTTCGAGTTCTGGAATTAGGTCTTCTCTAAGTATATATGCAGTAGGAATATTCTAAGCTGATGTTTAACGTGTATTTACATTGTTATGGAAAATGTATGCTAAAGCACTTGCAACAGATTTTTAAGTAATATCCAAACGTACACTACGTATGCGCGTATATATATACATATATATTGTATGTATACATATACACATGTTCGTACACATACATACATACATAAGTATACATACATATATGTGTATATATGTAAAGGTATGTATGTATGCATACGCACATGCATAGGCACACGTACCTGTATATATTATATATATATATATATATATATATATATATATATATATATATATATATCCGTGTGTGTGTGTGTGTGTGTGTGTGTGTGTGTATGTATGTATGTATGTGTGTATTTATGTTTAAGTATCTGAGAACAAACAAATGAATAAACATACAGCATTATACACATATGCATATGCACTCGTTATGTGCCTGAAAATGCAAAGAATAAAATACATATAATTGTAGTCCAGCATCACTTACTGACACGGATATTATCACAACTAAATGAGAATCATATTATACAATCATCAATTCCCTTGAAACAACACAAACAAACAAATCTACTTTACAATCGCAGTACTACATCTATTAAGCAAAATACATTTCCAATACATGCTGCATGCTTGCGACTGTTCATACAACACCCCATTCCTTCACACCTTACAAATATCACGAAATCAGGGCAATTTTATTAAATATTATAAGTAACAGGTTAATAGAAGAAATTATAGTATTGTAGTAGTTGTAGTAAGGTAGTCACACTGTTGCCAACACCGAGGTTCTTATTTTTCCTATTTGTTTTTTTTTACTTTCTAACCTGCTTGTTTAGATCGAATTTTATTATTTATGTAGGCCGGACTCTATCACGAGAGGGGCATAGGATGGGAATTTCAGTTTTGAAAAGGTTCAGACCTTAAAATTAAATGGGAAATATTATGAATTTCGGTCGACATCTAGAAGATGGCTTGGAGGGGGGGAGGGGAGGGCAAGCTCGAACCGAGTTGCCAATAACTCAAATTAGACGTATCTAATTTACCGCCAAAATAACGATATTCTCTCGGGCAGAACCCCAACTCACAAGTGCATTTACCGCCAAGGAACGTGAACCTCCCAACAAACACCCAAATCGAGCAAACCCAAAGGAAAACAACGCAAAAAAAAGCCAACCTCACACCCGACGCAATCCCGCCCACCAGCGACCTCCGGCAACGATCCCCATGCGCGAGAGAGAGAGGGGGGGAGGGGAGCCGAGGGGGGTGGGGTGGGGAGGGGAGGATGAACAGCTGCGAGTGGCCACCTGCGTCCCCCCCTCCTCACCCCCCCTCGGCTCTCGTGGGCCCCCTCCCCCCCGCGCGTGAGGGAAGGCACAAGGGCGCAACCCACCGATCTCCCTCAGGCCCCTTTTCGGGACTTGGGGGATGCACTTACGGTTTCTTTAATTCTTGATTTGCTCTGATTTCTTTTTTCTCCTTCTTCTTCTTCTTCTTCTTCTTCTTAAAGCGAAGAAGGTGTTGGCGTGTTATTGGTAGGTTCTATTTTGTTTCTCATTAATGTTATTTTATTTGTCGTGTTCTGTATATGGTGTTTATGTTATAAATGGCCTGGAAGTATTATTTTGACGGGAGTGTGTGCGAGGTTATCTTATTTACAGGAAAATTTCATTCATATGAAGACAATAGAGTGTTTACCAATGGTTATCAATGTGCGATTATCTACGTCATCGGTGTCATTGTGATTGTATATATATTTATATTTTTACTACTTCACAATTAGAGATTTAACCATATTAAGTATGAGCATAGACCAACTATGTCAGTGTGTTTTGTTATTGTTATATTATTATCATTATTAATGTTATTATTATTATTACCATTTTTATTATCATCATTATTATTACCATTTTTATTATTATCATTATTATTACCATTTTTATTATTATCATTATTTATCATTATTATTATTATCATTATCATTATTATCATTATCATTATCATTATCATTATTATTATTATATTATTATCATTATTATCAGTATTATTATTATCAGTATTATTATCATCATCACTATTATTATCATCATTATTATTACTATCATTATTACTGTTATTAGCATGATTTGATTATCCAAAGTAAATGCAATGTTGATTATGGCATTACAAGTTGTCTCTGACCAGTACAATAGCACAGAGGGACTTACAAAAGGAGAAGGAAAAGGAAAAGGGAAAGACATGGCATGTGCGAAGATAAAAAAAAATGTGGAGATGATGTTAGATGAATAAAGAACAAAAAATGACGTGTGTGTGTGTGTGTGTGTGTGTGTGTGTGTGTGTGTGTGTGTGTGTGTGTGTGTGTGTGTGTGTGTGTGTGTGTGTGTGTGTGTGTGCATGCGTGTGGTTATGCTAATTACATGAGTAGTAAACGTAAATGAATGACTGATCATATAAAACAGGTAAAGATATACACATATACCAACAAGTATACACACATATATAATGTAAATGCACAGATGCTTACTGCAAACACTCACAAACGTACGCCTACATGCACAGCCCCAAAAGACAAAGACACACACACACACACACACACACACACACACACACACACACACACACACACACACACACACACACACACACACATACATATGCATACATACATATATTGAATAGAATAGAGAAAGAAAGAGAGAGAGAGAGAGAGAGAGAGAGAGAGAGAGAGAGAGAGAGAGAGAGAGAGAGAGAGAGAGAGCAGTAAAGAGAAAGGGAAAGGAAAATTTATCACAGCAACCAGACATAATCCAAGGAAAGAGACAAGAGGAAAAGAGGGAAACAGAAATGAAGCAGAAGAGATAAAGGAAAACAAAGTAAACTAAGAAGCAGAAGAGAGGGAAGGAAGAAGGGAAAAAAACTCAGGATAATAACGAAAGAACAGGAACTGGAGAGACAATACCAATAATGCACAAGGAAGGTCGAGAATATGAAAAAGAAATAAAACAGGAAATAAATATATATAGATAATAAAGAGGCAGAGATATAGCAATAGAAATAGTAAAATAGAGAAATAGATAACATGTACAACAGTATAGAAATAAGATGGAAATAAACTATATATAAAGAAATGTATGGGAATAAACTACGTATGGAGAAATGTATGTAAATAAATAGTGAAATAAATAAAGATAAGCAAAAGATTTAAATACGCAAGAAATACCCAAATAAATAAAAGTAAGAAATGTAGAAATTAATGAAAATAAACAATTACGGAAATAAGCACTAATAAGAAATATAGAAATGAATAAGAATAAACAAGGACTACATAAACAAACAATAATCATAAATATAAACATGAATAAAAATAAAGAACAATAAGGAATACACACACACACACACACACACACACACACACACACAACACACACACACACACAACACACACACACACAACCACACACACACATATATATATATATATATATATATATATATATATATATATATATATATATATATATATATATATATATATATATATATATATATATATATATATATATATATATATATATATATATATATATATATATATATATATATATATATATATATATATATATATATATATATATATATATATATATATATATATATATATATATATATATATATATATATATATATATATATATATATATATATATATATATATATATATATATATATATATATATATATATATATATATATATATATATATATATATATATATATATATATATATATATATATATATATATATATATATATATATATATATATATATATATATATATATATATATATATATATATATATATATATATATATATATATATATATATATATATATATATATATATATATATATATATATATATATATATATATATATATATATATATATATATATATATATATATATATATATATATATATATATATATATATATATATATATATATATATATATATATATATATATATATATATATATATATATATATATATATATATATATATATATATATATATATATATATATATATATATATATATATATATATATATATATATATATATATATATATATATATATATATATATATATATATATATATATATATATATATATATATATATATATATATATATATATATATAT